TAAAAAAATTAAAAATTATATTGTTGCAACTGTGACAACACTCATAACTCCTTGTAAGACCCACCATGAGTGATGATGTGTCAAAACCTGTATTGTGACAAATAAAATAAAAGAGATTTTGGTGACAAAAAAATAAATATGTTGAAGTTAGTATAAACAAATGTAGAAGGACAAAATAAAAATAAATAAATTACAAGGACAAAGAGGGCATGCCCCTTTTAGTCAGTTATATATCTTGATGGGGCGGTAGCCTTTATCTTAGGATTAGTCACGTTGATGTGGTAGAAGTTGAAGTTCAAGTCTGATTAATCCTAAACTCAATATGAGTTTTTCTATTTTTACTGGCTTCACTGCCTTCGTCCATCACCACTTAACCCTCATCTTTCTTCTTCTCTTTCTCTCTTTATATATATATATATATATATATATACACACCAACCTCCACTTGTGCCACCATCGGGCCTCTTTTTTTCGACCGTTCTATCTCTCGCTATCTGCTCCCTCTCTCGATGTCTCTGCATTTTTCGGTGACCAAGGTGATTCCTTGCCGGTCATCATCATTATGCCAATTTCTGGCATTGAGAGTTGCGCTATGGGTCTTGCGGGCTGTTGGGATTCTCTCCTAGCATGTGTCTAGGTCCGATTATAGTTGGAGTCATTGTGTATTGTCGCCCACGAGCTATCGAGCTCCCGGCTTGAACCTCGTCAAACATAGCCGAGCTGAGCTCGAACTAAATTTTTTAGGCTCGAGTCAAGCTTGAGTAGCCTAATACCTAACCGAGCCAAACTCGAGCATACCATTACTTGGCTCAACTCGGCTCGTTTACAGCCTACAAGCGGCACACACATCTCATCTCAAAATAGGAGGTCTGCCATTAGTTAGGGTATGGAAGCTTATACTATTAGTTAGATTATAATAATATAAAGAAATAAAATAAAAAACTTTAGGGCCTTCTATTGGTTAGGGCACGATAGCCTAAGTTGCTTAAGGCTTCAGTTGGCCCTTTTTTGACGAGTCATATTTTTTTATTTTTTATTTTACTCCAGAAAATGACACACATACTTACTTTTATGATGACTTAAATGCTCAACCTTCCACTTTAAAAAGATGAATAAGTACTGATAGGGAAAAATAAACTAACCTATCTTGACCTAACGATAGAGGCAACTAAGTGTTGACCAGATGTCAAATCTCTTCTACTTTCGAAAGATAATATTTCGTTATCAAGGATAACGATTTCCATTGGATAAATTCCATGGGATAATGACAAATCTTATCAAGGGTAAGATTTCCATGGGATAAGTTCTATAGGATAAGGATTATGATATTCCCTTATCAAGAATAAGGGAAGTGACGATAAATAGGAAGACGACTCGGGAATAAGGTACGACGAAAAAACTATTATTAAATCCCTGCCTTTTTTTTAGATCTTCAGTAACTAACTTGATCGTCGGAGAGCTCTTGGCAGGCACCACACTGGTGCTGTCAAGGTTCATCGATCTTCTCCTTTCTTCCTCGCAGGAAAACGATGTCGTATCAGACCGCATGAATTTCACCCTTAACAGTTGGCGCCGTCTGTGGGAATGACGATTCCCTTGAATCAATTAATTACTCAGTTAGGTATATACGTTTGCGGTCCGGTATAGTTACCGAAGGAACACCGTGGCAGGGATCTGGTCAAAGGGTAGAGTCGGGTGAAAACCTAGACATCCCAAACGACTAGACACGGCTTGTAGTGTTGGAATTGTAGATCCAAACTCTGAGTCAGGGTATGGACCAGTTGATCTAGCAAAATACAGCATTTCTGCAACATCTTGTTCCACCGGTTCAACAAAACTTGCCACGACAAGATCTCTCAAATCCAAACAGAGGTAATGGGAATCTTGAAGAGCAAGATAATCATCCTCCCCAAAATGAAACCGAAGTGGAACAAAGCCAAGTGGGAAACCGACATAGAGAGGTGGTCCACCCATCTCTCCCATGGAGTTCCCGACCTCATAAAGGCACATCTTTCTGTCTTAAGGAAAAGACAAAGAAAGTTACATATTTTGACCTGCAAATCGAGGATCTCAAGGGGAAAATGGAAGATGTAAAGCAGGCTATGAAAGGGAAAGGTCCTACTGCCATAGATGACCTTGTACAAAGGACCAATTTGCCATTCAGCCCCGCTGTTATGAAATGTCCATTGCCTAGCAAGTTCAGGATGCCCTCGTTCGAAAGCTTCGATGGGATTAAAGATCCCCTCGATCACCTGGAAACTTTTCAAGCTTTTATGCATTTGCATGCCGTGCCAGATGCAATCATGTGCCGAGCTTTTCCCACTACACTTAAGGGATCGGCAAGAGTTTGGTTCAATAAGCTAAAGCTAGGAACCATCAACACCTTCGAAGAACTAAGCAAGCAATTTGTGAGCCATTTCATTATAGGTCAGAGGCATAGGAGGCCGGCCACCTACCTGCTTACCATGAAGCAATAGAATGGCGAGTCGATTCGGGAATACATCACCCGATTCAACACAGAGATGTTGCAGGCAGAAGATGTGGATGACAAGGTGGCTTTGATTGCTTTCATAGGAGGACTCCAAACCTCCAGATTCTTGTTCGCCTTATCCAAAGCACCTCCCACCAGCATGGCAGAGTTGTTGATCAGAGCGCAGAAACACATGAACACTGAAGACGCGTTGAATGCACGGAAGGGAAAGAAAGGAGAGGACAAGAAGAGGTCAGCACCTCTCACCAGGGATGAAAATGATACCAGTTATAAGAGATCATTCTTCAACCAAAGCAATAGGACATATAGTGAGGAGGACTCAAATAAGTATACCGACTAACAGTTGTCTCAAAGCTGGAATTAACCTTATCAAGTCATTTAAAATAAAGACTAGGGGCATCTCAGTTCATCATTTCACATGTTGTTTCATTTTCTAATAAAGTCACCATCACCAGTGAGATGGATGACCCTTAATTTCTACGCAATAAAATATTATGTTTTCAGTTACCTACCTATGTGGTAATATCAAGCTCAAAATAATCTATTTATCTCCTTAAAGGAACCAAGGGCCAACAACACATTCTTCTCTTATTAAAGGGACAAGAAGCCAATTACTCCTTCTACACAGAAGGGTGAGATAATTAAAGATTCCTTCATTTACTAGAGAGACGAGACGACTACCTCCTGTATTACAAGGGATGATAATAAGTGTCATGTATTAAAAGGACCTAGGCTGAATGAATCCCGTAATCAATATCCCCGTACTATAAGGGATAGTAAATGAGTGTCTTGTATTATAAAGACCCGGGCTGAGTGAATCTCGTAATCAATATCCCTGTATTATAAGGGATAGTAAATGTGTGTCTTGTATTATAAGGAGCCGGGCTGAGTGAATCTCGTAATCAATATCCCCGTATTATAAAGGGTCCTGTATTATAAAGATCCGGGATGAATGAATCTCGTAATCAATATCCCCTTACTATAAGGGATAAATATCCTGTACTAAAAGGGCTCAGGTTGAATGAATCCCGTAATCAATATCCCCTTACTATAAGGGGTAGTAAATAAAAATCCCTTACTAAAGGGACAAGCTGCGTAAAACTCGTAAAATTTAATTCCCTTATTAAAGGAGTGGTGATCTGAGTGAAGTTCGTACAATTTATTCCCTTACCAAGAGAAGATTACCCAAGGGTACCAAAAATAGTACCCAAGGGAAGAGTACCCAAGGATACTAAAAAGACTACCTGAGGGGAGATTATCCAAGGGAAGAGTGCCCAAGGGAACATTACCCGATTGCAAAGTACTAAAGGGAAGATTACCCATGGGTTAAAAAAAAAAAATTACTGTTCATGTGAACAGTACTGCGGGAATAGTACCCGCGGGTACTGTTCCCAGGGTAAGGAAAAAAAAAAAAAAAAAAAAAAAAAACATTCCCAAAGCTAGACGAGCAAGCTTGGGAATGGGGACAACTGATAGGGAAAAATAAACTAACCTATCTTTACCTAACGATAGAGACAACTAAGTGTTGATCAGATGCCTAATCTCTTCTACTTTTGAAAGATAATATTTCGTTATCAAGGATAACAATTTCCATTGGATAAATTCCATGGGATAATGACAAATCTTATCAAGGGTATGATTTCCATGGGATAAGGATTATGATCTTCCCTTATCAAGAATAAGGGAAGTGACGATAAATAGGAAGATGACTCGGGAATAAGGTACGACGAAAAAACTATTATTAAATCCCTGCCTTCTTTTTAGATCTCCGGTGATTAATTTGATTGTCGGAGAGCTCTTGGCAGGCACCACACCGGTGCTGTCAAGGTTCATCGATCTTCTCCTTTCTTTCTTGTAGGAAAACTGTGTCGTATCGAACCGCATAAATTTCACCCTCAACAAGTACTATTAAATTACGCGGTCTCAAAACCCTTGCACTAGTCATATTTCCCTTCCAAAAATCTCAAAACACTAATACAATGTCCTAATGCGCATTCTAGTTGATAAGGAGAAGATATAACTCAAGTTAATATTTGGTGGTAAAATTCCATAAGCATTCCTAGACATTCAGCTTCAATTTATCACAATTTTAGCATATAAAATACAAATAGTTAAAAAAAAATTATTCTCCAAAGACTGAGTTAAAATTATACAAATTCATAGAACCCTCTTGTTTCTTTTCAGAACTCTAAAAAATGGCTTTCAGAAAACTAAACAAAACAGGTCTATTGTTCAACATTTTGGAGTCCATGTTATATATAATATTTTTCATACGAATGGGAGAAATTTGTTGATACGAAATATTTGCATAACACACAATATTATCTAAAAAACCAAGAAATAAAATTTTTCGCAATGCTATAATTCTATGTTTTTGTTAGAGTTCAAACTATTTCAAGAAGTTAATATCTCCCATAATTACATTGAGTTGATGAAAATGGCCAATGCAAAGCATTTAAGTTTTTATTTTTCCAAAATCAATTTCCACCATTGAATTGTTTTCAGCATATAAAGCAATCATGTAAAGGTTGATGTTATATATACAACATTTGTAGCAAGGTACAAATAAAATTCATATTGGAAAACAAATGCAGACTATAAAACAACAATCACTTAACAAGCTCCTCCTCCTTCTTGCCGGCTTCTTCCAACTCCCTCAGCCCCCCAACTTTCTGCTCAATCTCCTCAATCAGCTCCTCACGCCACAACTCCGCTCTAGCAGATTCTTCAATTGTTTCTTGCTGTGAAACCAAACATTCTTAATCATCATTTTTTTTCAGCTTTCCAAACAAAACTTTTGTACTAAGGTCCTATACAATGTGATGAGATATGGGTGTTTGGAAATTAATATAATTGTGGTATTCATCTTGCACTTGAATACCACATTTTTGTGTTTGAAAGAAATTACTCCAATTACAGAGAAACCTATCAAACTCTTGATCAAGGAAATGTCAACTGCATTATTTTTAAGCTTTTAAAATTAACCCGAAAATTTTGGCAGATGGACTTTATTGAATCTAATATGATCATATAGTTTCAATCACTTATATCTTGTCACAAAACTAAAAAGTTACTTTAGTAGGTTCGATGGCTAAGTGTCACTATTTAATCAGTTGATGATGCAATGTCATCAATGCAACCGATGCAATAAAGTATTTCTCGTGCACTACCCCCTTATCCACCAATAGACACATGCTGTTTCTCTATCCCTCATGCACGAATCGGAAAAATTCTCTCTCAATGGGATTCGAATTCTCGACCTCTAAGATGGAATGTAAGTCTTCTGTTAGGCTAGCTATTCCTTTCTGGTTTGAGAGGAAAAGCATATGATGGATGAAAGTTTGTGAAGTACTTTTAGTGTAAAGAAGTTATGAGTTTCCAATAATTGCCAAAAGTGGATTATAAATTTATATACCACCAATTTAATGAATTTTCTCTTCCAAGACAATGAAAAGCAACAAAGCAAGGCAAGTCATACCTTCTCATAGACCCAATGACCAGTACCATCTCCTCCATCTTTCCTGTAGTCTTCTGAATCATAGAATGGATCCTAAACCATTTTCAATGTTTATCAGAAATAAATACAGAAAAATAAATAATTACTAAGCTCCAACAATGTGAATTACTTATTTAGGTAAAATATGAGAAAGCCTTACTTTTGTGGAACCAAAGAAACAAACTCCCCAACATGTGAACATGACATAAAGAGTATCTATAACCAAAAAAAAATTATAATAAATAAATAAATAGAAGGGTGTATAGATAATTATTCAAATCCCAAACATGCCCAATTTTAAAGAAGTGATATATATATATATATATATATATACTTACAGACATTCTTTATTTGTTCATCATTGAGATGCCAAATAGATTTGTGGGTGATGATATCTCTTTGGCCTTCCATATGCTCAACTAGAACTGCCATCAGTGGCCAATCTGGGAAGGCATTCCCTCTGCTTAAAGAACCTCTTTTGCTCTTTCTTCCTTCAATCTATTACAAAATTCCCAACATTTTATTGATGATCTTAAATATTTTCTGATGACCCATAAACAATCAAAATCAGAAAAAATTACACGCAGTACACACACAGTTCAATTAATGATGAAACTTCAAATATATGCTACTTACTTGAGGCCAACCATTGCCAAAACCAGAGCTTGAACAATTCTTGAGCTGCAAAAGCAGAGAGATATTCAGCCATTCTATATATATATATATATATAATATAATATAATTCAACAACAAATAAGGAAGTGAACTATTACATTTACTGACTTCATCAATGGGTTTGAGTCAAATTTTGTTGTGTGGACAGCACTGTGCATATGTGACTTGATAACTGTGAAGCTCATGATAGCTTCAGCCATTTCAATGAATCCTGCAGAGAGAGGTAGTAATTGTTTTTTCAATTACAAGAGTTTTTTTCGTTATATATATATATTTTCTGTAGTTTAGTGGAGAACTAAGAAGATAAGGAAACCATTTACATATTTTCTGTAGTTTAGTGGAGAACTAAGAAGATAAGGAAACCATTCAAATCCACTACTCGATATCAATAACATCTTTAATAAGATAGATATTATTATTTTGGAAACCTAAAAGCAAGGCCTATTAGCTCAGCTGGTTAGAGCGTCGTGCTAATAACGCGAAGGTCGCAGGTTCGAGACCTGCATGGGCCAGATGTTTTTTATTTTTGTTTTTAAGTTTGGGCTGGGGCATTTTTTTAGTGGGCTTGTTCCGTTTAATAACGTGGGCTACTTTTGTTATTATTGACCAGATCGGCCCATAGAATAGATCTGATGATATTCAGTGGGTAATACTTACCAAATTAAAGTGAAATATATATATATATATAATGTGGGCTATTTTGGTTGTTGACCAGATCGGGCCATAGATTAGATTAAAGGTTTTCAGTGGGCTGACCTGATGATATTCAGTGGGTAATTCTTACCAAATTAAAGTGATGTGTGTGTGTGTGTTTTTTTTACCACTTTGGAAGAAAATATAAAAATTGACCAGTTTGGGTCATGATGCAGACAAGCAAGCTGATCTGGGAATCAGGGTTATACTTATTATTGGTGTGTTCAGTGGAATTTGAATAGGTGGAATTGAGTTTTATTTTATTATGATTAACTAATTCTTAATGACTTAGTCTTAATCCATTTTTGTTCTTTTGGGTGCAAACAATTTTTTAAAGAAGGTGTGTGAGTAAATAGTTGGAGGAATATTTTTTCAAATAATAATAATAATAAAAAAATAAAAAAATTTAAACTTGAGATTTTCTAAGGTAGCAGGACCAAAAATTTTAGTTGATACTCTCTTTTCTAGTTTTTTCTAGTTAATACTCTCTTGCTATATTTGAGAGTATCAAATGTTCAAAAAACTAATTAGTGGCTATACTTTTGGGTCACTTCTGTTGCAACGTTTTTCTTTTAATGGTTTCCGTTACAGAGTTTTGGCTCTCATTTCTTCACAAATCTGGAATTGTTATTCATTTTTCTTGTTTTGCTTTGAGATTTGTATGCCTTTTTTGATTTGGCTTTTTGCCTCTGTATTGTCATTCTGACTTGGCCTATGTGGCTTTGCAATAATTAAAAAAAACAAAAAATCATGTCATGCCTTTAACTATCTATTAGTTGGATAAGTAAATTAGTTATTTAGCCTTATTTGTTTTATAATTATATAAAGCACAAAAAAAAAAAAAAAAAAACCCCCGAAATACCACAATACAACCCTCTCACCGTTTTTCTTTGATTAGGTTTTATTTTTTTCTTTTCTTTTTTGGTAATTTGTAGAGATAATGATATTTTGGGCTTCTTTTTAGTTTACTTAATTAGTCAGGTATTTTTTTTTATTTTTTATTTTTTATTAATATAGATACATGTAATCAATGAAGAAATTTGAGTCACTGTGTTATTTGTCACTTGAAATCTCCATAAATAAAAAACATTTTCATAATAAATATTTATACCGTATTTTACTGATAAAATCCCTCGAAACTGACCGTTTGACTGTAAACTTTTTCATAATAAATTTTTATATTATATTTTACTGTGCATTAATATTGGAGATTTGATACCATTCAACACATTTAGAAAAAATAAAAATAAATCCCTCCACCGAGTCATTCACTTGAAATCTCCATAAATCTAGAATTTTTTCATAATAAATTTTTATATTATACTTTACTTTGCATTTACATCGAGATCTAATACTATATAACTCATTTATAGAAAAAAAATAAATCCCTCCCGACCGATTACTTGTGTTATTTGTCACTTGAAATTTCATTAAATCTAGAAATTTTTTATATTATATTTTACAAGCAAAATGAAAAATTACTCTTTTTTTAAAAAATAATAAAATTCCTAACACGTAATTATCATGTGTCTCACAAAATTATAATTCACAATAATAATTGTGGTGTGAATTCACTCAAGTAGTGAGTGTCCAAATATAATACCTCCGACATCAGTCACGCGATGGTAATGTAGATAAATATTGCACCATGATTACAACCTAATATATTTGTAACGGGGTAGAGTAACGTAGGAACATTCATCTCTGCGCGTCCAGATTAATAAATAAATTAATTAATTAATTAAATAAAAACTCTTAAGCGCGTATTTTAGAGAGTAATAGCCTACAAGTGCGTGTTTTAGACTTATCAACTTATTTTATTTTTTATTTTTAAGTTCATCGCTATCCTCGAGAACCACAAAATTCAATTCCAATGGTCCAATGAATAAGGTATTCGGCTCTGGATTTGAATTTTCCTGTTGTCGCACTTCTATAAATATACCCAATTCTTTATTCTTCATTTACTCGAATACCCCCACCTTGTCCACCAGGAAAAACTAGAATTTTCTCGCCCACCGAACCCTTTTCTTTCTCGGGAAAATCCAATGGGAAATATGGGATTGTTTGATCTGGAGAAGCACTTTGCCTTCTATGGGGCATATCACAAAAACCCAGTGAATATCTTCATACACATGTTGTTTGTGTGGCCAATCTTCTTCACTTCTCTTGTTCTTTTCTATTTCACACCTTCTGTCTACTACCTGAACTGCCCATTTCAGTGCAGTCATGGATTGGCTCTCAACTTTGGCTTCTTCTTTGCCTTGATCTATGCTTTGTTCTATGTGTGTTTGGACAAGAAAGCTGGTTCTTTGGGTGCTTTAATCTGTCTAGTCTGTTGGGTTGGGAGTAATTTTCTTGCTAGAAATCTCGGATATTCTCTGGCTTGGAAGGTAAAGTTTTCTGTCATCAATTTTATTTTATTATTTTTATTAGTTTTTGTTAATGAATGTTATGCGAGTTTTGTTTTTGATGTCTTTAGTTTTAATGAATCTCATTTGGGTTTTGTCTATGAAACACTGATTAGGTATTCATAATCTGAAAATAAAACCAAATCAATTGTTGTAGTGGTAATTATTATTTCATTTGTTCAATTAGATAGTAGTGCTGTTTAGATCACTAATTTGTTTGATCATATGAATTGTGTATTGGATGTTCATAATGGGCAAATAAGTCAAATTATGCTAGAAACATTTGAATGCGATTCTAGGAGTTTTAACATATGTTTGTATTGTGGATTCTTTGTTTGAAAAGTAGTTAGTGCCATGTTTTCAGGTAGGTGTGAATTTAATGTACAAGGGGGCAATATAAAAACTCAGTGCTGGCCAGACAGCAACTGAATGATCCTGTTACAATCCTATGATGGCCCTACTGCGATTTTACTACAATCCTACCCCTCTATGATTATTAATAGAATCTGGATTGATCAAATAAGTTTGAATCATAGGATTGCGCAATCATACTATTCAAATTGTGATTTTGGTTGCCACGATGCCTTTAAGGTTGTTGTTTGCAACACCATAGAATAGGATAAACAGAGGCAACATGTACCTCTGACAGGGTGCATTAAACACATCATGTGGCCCTTTGAATTGTCACCCATTCCCCTGATACTGGTTTATGATGTTATGATCTTTTTTTTGCAAAACCCTTCCAAAATATGTGCATCGTATAAAGTAGATCTTTGAACTCCCGCTTAAGTAGAGGGGAGGTCAATGTGATTTACCCTAAATTAGAGAATCGAGTGAGGATGAGTACGATTTAAAATTGTTAATCCCCGACACAACCTGATTTAGTTAAGAGCAAGTGTATCATAAGGTTGCTCTCATATTTCAATCATGATTCTCCTCTAAATTAGCTTATTTTGAACACGGAAAATAATGCACAATCCACATACTATTAGCTTATGTTGTACCAAAAGAAAGCCTCAAGTGAGGGGGCATGTTGAAGGATTTAAATATTAATATCACACCCTCTCTAACAGCCAAAGCTTTTAGAGTAGTTGGTTGTTAACACATGCAACCCATTTTATTGAGATATAATTATGCAACAACTTTACTTCAAAAATGGAAGACATTTGCATCCGTGTTGCATTGTAATTGTAATGGATGGAGTAGTCTAAAAACCTCAACTCTTGAGCATGCCTTATCAAATATTTTATGGAGTAATGTGACACAATAGCGTGTTTTAGACATAACCACTTTTTACTTTGTCTTGACATTCTAGTGAAGCAGTATTCAATTCCAATGGATAAGTAGGCTCTGGTTTTGATTTTCTCTGTTGTAGCCGCCTTCTTCAAATACCCAATCTTATTCTTCAACTCCTCGAATTCTCCGTTTTCCTTCCTTTTCTCTCTTCCTTATCCACCAATCCTCGAACTCTAGACCTGGAGGCCATAAGAGGACCAGTGTTTTCCTTCCTTTTCTCTCACAGCTTTGCCAGAAAAAACTTAAACTTTCTCGACGACTGAACCCTTTATTTTCATGAGAAAATCCAATGGGTAAGATGGGATTGTTTGATCTTGAGAAGCACTTTACTTTCTACGTGGCATGTCATAGCAACCCAGTGAATATCTTCATACACATGTTATGAAAACTAGATAGTGCCATGTTTTCAGGTAGCTGTGAATTTAATGTACAAAGGGGGCAATATAACAAATTATGTTGCTGGGCCAGACAGCAACTGAATGATCCTATTACAATCCTATGGTGGCCCTATGGCGATTTTACCGCCAATCCTACCCGTCTATGATTATTAGTAGAATCTGGATCGATCAAATAAGTTTGAATCATTGGATTTGCGCAATCATACTATTCAAATTGTGATTTTGATAACCACGATGCCTTTAAGGTTGTTGTTTGCAACACCATAGGATAGAACAAACAGAGGCAACATGTACCTCTGACATGGTGCATTAAACACATCACGTGGCCCTTAGAATTGTAGTCATTTTGATGTAGTTTTTCACCAAAATCCCCCTGATGCTGGTTTGTAATGTCATGATCATTTTTTTGCAAAACTCTTCCAAAATATGTGCATCATATAAAGTAGAACTTTGTACTCCCACTTAAGTAGAGGGGAGGTCAGTGTGATTTACCCTAAATTAGAGAATCAAATGAGGATGACTACTACGATTTAGAATTGTTAATCACAGACACAACCTGATTTAGTTAAGAGCAAGTGTATCAGAAGGTTGCTCTCATATTTCAACCATGAGTTCTCCTCTAAATTAGCTTATTTTGAACACGGAAATTAATGCACAATCCACATACTATTAGCTTATGTTGAACCAAAAGAAGGCCACACGTGAGGGGGCGTGCTGAAGGATTTAAAGATTAATGTTGCATCCTCTCTAACAGCTAAAACTTTTAAAGTAGTTGGTTGTTAACACATACAACACATTTTATTGAGATATAATTATGCAACAGCTTTACTTAAAATAATGCAAGTCATTTGCATCCGTGTTGCATTGTAATCGTAATGGATGGAGTAGCTTAAAAACCTTCAACTCTTGAGCGTGTCTTAGCAAATATTTTATGGAGTAATACCCTATAATAGCGTGTTTTAGACATCACTACTTTTTACTTTGTTTTGACATTCTAATGAAGCAGTATTCAATTCCAATGGATAAGTAGTTACTGGCTTTGATTTTCTCTGTTGTAGCCTTCTTCTTCAAATACCCAAACTCATTCTTCAGCTCCTCGAATTCCCTCCTTGTTTTTCTTCCTTTTATCTATTCTCTATCCACCAATCCTTGAACTCTAGACCTAGAGGCCATAAGAGGGCCAGTGTTTTCCTTCCTTTTCTCTCCCAGCTTTTCCTGAAAAAAGTTAAACTTTCTTGCTGACTAAACCCTTTATTTTCACGAGAAAATCGCATGGGAAAGATAGGATTGTTTGATTTTGAGAAGCACTTTACTTTCTATGGCGCATGTCACACCTCAAATTCTCTCTCACTTTCTATGGGGCATGTCACTTTACTTTTTCTCTGTCTCATCTGTTGGCTTGCGAGTTATTTTCTTGCTAGACATCTCGGATTCTCTCTCGCTTGGAAGGTAAAGCTTTCTGTTATCAACTATGAAAAAAAAAAAAAGAAGCTTTCTGTTATCAATTTTAGCTTATGTGAGTTTTGACTGTTTTATGTACTTATATTTTAATGATTCTCATTTGGGTTTTGTCTATGAAGCACGGATTAGGTGTTAATTATCTGAAAATAGAACCATATCAATTGTTTTTGTGAGAAAAATAAAGGAATTAATTAGAGATATTATTTTCAACTTTCTGTTCTCTTAAAGTTAACCTTGCCTTTTATTTGTGTTGTAGTGGTAATTATTATTTCGCTTGTTTAATTTGATAGAGCTTATGAAGCACAAACACTTCTATGAGGTGTCGTGTCGTGTTGGACACCGTATCGGACACCCACATTTTATGGACACTCCCGGATACATCTCCGACACTTCATGAACATATGGATGATTTAAAAATAATTTTTATTATCTCAGACACTTTTTTTTTTTGATAAGTATATTATCCCGGACACTTGGTCAACACATTCTGGACACTTGACAACATATCCCACACACTTTCTTATATAATATATATATATATATATATATTTTTTGATATTCAAATAGCTTCAACCTTCAAAGTTATTTAATTTAATTATAGAAATTAGAAAGTAGTTAAAGTTCTATAATTGTCTTATCCAATAGATATATAAATGAAAACTTGTATTTATAAAAGTAGTGCCCGTGTCCTACGTTTTTTAGAATTTGATGTGTCGTTGTATCTGTGTCGTCCCGTGTTCATGTCCGTTTCCATGCTTCTTAGGATAGAGCTTTTGATTTGTTTGGGTTTAAAAAACTAATTTGGTTGATTATATGAAATGTGAATTGAATGTTGATCATGGGCAAATAAGTCAAATCATGCTAGAAATATTTGAAAAGTGATTCTAAGAGTTTTAACATTTGTCTCTATTGTGAATTCTTTGTTTGGAAACTAGATAGTGCCATGTTTTCAGGTAGGTGTGACTTTAATGTACAAGGGAGCAATATAGAAATGCAGTTGCTGGGCCAGAGTGCCAGACAGCAACTGAACAATCCTATGATGGCCCTACGGTGATTTTACCACAATCCTACCCCTCTATGATTTTTAGTATAATCTGGATTGATCAAATCAGCTTGAATCATAGGATTGTGCAATCCTACTATTCAAAATGTGATTTTGATAGTTATGATGCCTTTAAGGTTGCTGTTTGCAACACCATAGAATAGACTAAACAGAGGCAACATGTACCTCTGCCAAGGTGCATTAAACACGCCTTGTGGCCCTTAGAGTTGTGTTTGGTGTAGATTTTCATTAAAATCCCTGTGATGCAGTTATTATGATGTTACGTAGCTGTTGGCTCTGAACTCTGAAGGAATTGCAACAGAATCATTTCGTTGCAAAACCCTTCCAAAAGAGAAACCATAGGAATCTGCTAACTAAAAGTGCGGATGTGTATTAGAAGTCCTCTTAACACAAGATTTAGGCTAAAAAAAAAATCACCAATGGATAAAGTTCGTATTTCTTTCCAATTTAGAGAATTATAGAAAATGCCTTCCATACCAATGTTAGAAGTAGGCATGATTAAATTGAATTGCAGTCGCTCACAATCCCTTCATGATAATCTCATAAATGTAATGGCTGGAAAAAAAACATAGCCCAATGCATCTCCTTTCACGATGCACCAAAAAACTTTGGCTGACCGAAACCTCATTTAAGCAGAAACGTGACGTTGGCTAAGTTGGTTCCTCCAGAAAGTTAAATACTCATTTATCTGAGGTGTGAGTTCATTGAGTCAGTAACATTTATTTTCAAATTCATTGCTACAAATTAATGTATATTCATCTGTTTCCTCAAATATGTAAATTTAGCTGTGAGATGTGTTTTCAGAATAATTTTCTCTTCTAAATATTTAGCTCTCATGTTTTAGTACGACTATATTTCAGGTTGTTCTTGCAGCACAGCTGTTCTGTTGGACTGGACAGTTTATAGGCCACGGTGTGTTTGAGGTAAGCTATTACTATGTAATTTGGAGCACAATTCATTTCTTCCGTATATCATTTGGATAATAAATCTAGTTTATTATATTTTGTAGAAACGAGCACCAGCTCTTTTGGACAACCTTGTTCAAGCCTTCTTAATGGCTCCTTTCTTTGTATTACTTGAGGTAAGTTCTGCAATTCTCTTAATGGATGATGCCTCCTTGTCGAGTATTATTATTAAGTTGGATATGCTGTTATTGTTGGTTTCTTGCAGGCTCTTCAAACGTTCTTTGGTTACGAACCATATCCAGGATTTCATGCAACTGTAAAAGCAAAGGTAGATGCTGAGATCAAGGAATGGCAGGAGACGAAACAGAAGAAAATTTCGTAGCTTGATCTAATTGATGTTTTATTTGATCGTAGTTTGTACTTGCCAAAAAAAAAAAAAATGATCACTGTTTGTGCTAAGTTTCTGTAAACAAAGAGAGGAAGTGGATTGTGCAATACCAATCCGTGTACACACATGAAATATTAATAAGATCTTCTCAACTTCTTAATCAGAGTTCATGAATATCACTCTACTTTGATTTCTCTCTGTGGTGTGGATCAAATAATGATCATTTGAATGTAACTAGCGTAAGTGTGAGACTTCCTATAAAGGGAAGCTGGATTGGTGGTCTGTATCCATCCTTAACCTCGTATTGTGATGAATACCAATGATGCTATAACCAGGTTTTGGCTTTTGAACTCCCCTGTCCATCATTGATTTTCTCACTTTCATCGTGTCGCTCCACTGGCCTGCACTTGCATACATGTTTGCAAGAAGAACATAGTCACTGCTGTGATCTGGTTCCAAGTCCAAAAGGTGTCTCCTCACCTGCTCCCCCAATTCAACATTTCCATGCAACCGGCATGCAGCCATTAAAGTCCTCCATACGACGGCATTGCAGTCTATTGGCATGCTCTTTATCAACTGATAAGCCGCCTCCACGAACCCAGCTCGACCCAAAATATCCACCATGCACCCATAATGCTGTATGGTTGGCTGGACATTGTAGTCCTTCATCATGCTATCGAAGTACCTTCTCCCTTCTTCAACCAGACCTCCATGGCTACAAGCACTCAACACTCCCAAGAACGTGACATCATTTGGCTTCTGAAGCTTCTCTTCTAACATTTTCGAGAAGAGTTGCAGTGCCTTATCTGCATGACCGTGCCTTGCCAACCCTAAAATCATCGTATTCCACGACACTATGTTCCTTTGATTCATTTTATTGAATGTCCCATATGCTTCTTCAACCGCTCCACACTTTGCATACATGTCGATCAGTGAATTAGAGACCGAAACAATGTCAATGTAGGTATGTTGGTTAATAAATGAATGAACCCACCTCCCAAGATGCAATGCCCCCAATGCAGAGCATGCCGAGAGGGTCACAACCAATGTGGCCTCATCAGGTTCTACGCCGAGTTGCAACAGTCGCCAAAACAGCTCAAGTGCTTTCTTATACTCCCCACAATTCACATGGCAATCAATAATTGTATTCCAAGCTACAAGGTTTGAGCTGGGCATTTCTTCAAACAGTTGGCGTGCAGTGTCAATGTCCCTTAACATGCCATACACGTGAATGAGAGTATTCCTCACATAGACATGAGTTTCTAGACCATGTTTAAGAGTATTACAATGTATTTGCTTTCCCAATACAAGTGATCCTAACTGCCCACTAACTTTGAGCAAGAAAGAGAAAGTGAAGTTGTCTGCTACCTCTCCTCTCTCTTGCATTCTGTTATAGTACTCAAAAACTTTTCCCACTTGACATGTCCTCCCAAATCCTCTAATTATTGTGTTCCAGAGAAACCCATCTGGGTTTTCGATCTTTTCAAAAACCGAGACAGCGTAATCCATTGAACCTCGCTCAGAAATGGCACAGAAGGCAATGATTTTGCCTACAACGAAGAGGTTTTGAGCAAAGCCAGTTTGTATAACATGGGCATGAATTTGCTCTACATGTTTCATTGTGGAACAGTGTTTGAACAAAGAAAGAAGTGTTTGCACTTTTGAATTGATGAAAACTTCATTAAGGTTTTCAGATTTAGTTGTTGTGTGTGAATGGAAAGGACAGAGATTGAGAATTGACAAAGGCAGTGCAATGAGGGACAGTTTTTTTTTGGTTTGGTGTGATTTTAGGCAGTTGATGAAGTAGTTACTGAACATAACTATAGAATTCCAAAGGGGTGGTCATGAAAGTCACAACCCACCCACTTAAATTGGCTCCTTCTTAGCAACTGTTGATTCCATTGCTTTGAAGTGTTGCCATCATTGATTGAGAGCTTTTTGTATGTGTATTAACAAACTGATAAAAATATGAGGTGCTGATGGAAGGATCACAAGAGGGCCCATGGATTTTGATATTCTTGGTTTATCCATCTTAATGATTTGTTGGTTGGTCCACCTGTCTTTTGGTCTAATCCCAAATGTAATTCCAAATTTAGCTCACCTGCCCACTTTATATATTTATTCTTTATTTTATTATTATTATTATTATTATTTTTTTGTCCACAAATACCACACATTTCATCACCGGACAAAACCAAACATACACCAAACATAAAGAAATACTTTGAGAGGCCAAAGAGAATTCAAATTTTCAGACTTCCAAGAGGCGAACCGAAAGCCTTATCATTAGACTGTTTTTTTTTTTTTTTTTTAACAAAAAACTTACAAACTCCTTTCCCCTTGTAGATATTTGAACTCTCAATTCTTACTTTGAAAGGTAAGGGAGATATCACTATATCATAAAATTATGGTTAATTTCCTTAACTTTCATTTATCCACTCTTGTAATTTATTTATTTTTTATTTTTTCCTTTGTAATCACCCTTAACAATTTTTTTTTTTTTTTTTTCAATTGATAAAATGAATGTTGTTGGAGTATTTGTTAAATCATAGAAACAAACCTAATAATTCCGGATACTAATAGTAAATAGAGTATTCTTTGATTTATTATCAAATACATGCAATCTCTTGCTCGATTTCTTATTCATTAGGTCATTATTGGATCAAACACTCAAGACAACGCTTCGAAAGTGTCAAGTCTTGTGAAGGAGCCATCACCCAAAAAAATCCAAAATGTCAATAAAAAGATGTGTCAGGTGACGCGTCTGCCCATTCCCCTTGAAATGGATAGGCCAATTAAATTATGGTGGCATAGTATTTGAATATGTACATTGTGTTTTAATATTATAGTACTGTAAGTATTTCTTATTATACAGTTTAATATTTGGGAATGTGGCTACTATCCTTATCTTAGCGCAAACCTTTGGCCTACTGTGAATTAAATAAAAAATGTAATTGAAATTCCATTCTAGAGTAGTCACATTACATTAATTTTAAATCTCTAGACTCTCTAAGTTCAAGCATCACCAGAGAAATAAGCTAGCAACGTGTGCACTGAGAAGACAATAGTGTGTGTGTGTCAGATTACTTTTTGATAATGTTGATGACATGTTCTTGAACTATAATTTATATATATATTATAGTCCTATATTATTGTTGTTGTTAGTATAATTTATAACTAATGTGGTTGTAACTAATGTTTGGCGAATTTTCTACCTTTTGAATTTCTCTGGACTTTTTTTTTCGGGTATAATTAAGGTTTTATTTGGATAAACAGAAAAAAAGAAAAAGAAAAGAAATGATAGCATTACTAATGAGAAAAAAGAAAAGAAACAAAGAGATATCAATAATCACTATTTATATTTGGATAAATTATAAAGAAAAAGATAATATTATTGATTGAAAAAAGTAGCCAGATGAAAGAAAAGAAGAGGAAGATAATTTACAACCAAATTACTTTTATTATTATTATTTTTATAAAATGTAATAAGATGTGACTTAAATATCATAACAATTTTCTTCTTTTAATTATTGAAAGTATTTTCGTAATTATGAAAACATCAATTAACTTGTTATTATTTCTCTCCAAATATTTTTATTTTTTGAAGAACAACAAGTGAAGAATTCGGCGAGAGATACTATTCTTCTAAATCTCTCCAAATCATTTCCTTTCTCTCCTCAATGGCAATGATGCAATTCAAATATAAAAATCACTGTCTTCTCTCTTTTCTCTTCAAATCATTCCAATTCTATCAATCCAAACGGAGCCTAATTGAGAATAAAATAAATAAAGTTTTTTTTTTTTTTTTTTTTTTTTTTTTTTTTTTGGCATAATAAATAAAGAGTTAAAAAAGAAAAATGAGGGCATAATATTTTGAATTACTAGCAAATCACATTTTCAATCTATGTCTAACACATTATGATCATACTAATTTTTTCTTGATTATTTTCTTTTTCTACTCAAAGCATTGAAGGGATTTTCACCATTTTTGCTTTCACAAGATCTCTCACACACACGTAGAGAAATGCGTGTGTGTGTGTGAGAGAGAGAGAGAGAGAGTTAATATGATAGAATGAACCAGACAAGAACTACTACATCACACAGATCCGGTATATTCCATCATAATGTAAGTTTAATACAACTTCCAAGCATGAGTTGAAAAATAGATACTAATATATTAGGGCAATATATATTGTATCATCTTAGGAATTAAAAAATATATATAGATTCTATATGTACGACCTATCGTGAAAATATGATTAATAAGTGAAATGATTTGACAAAGGATACTATATATTATAAGTACTGTACGTATAAAAAACAAAAAATGATGACATGGGTGACTTATTCCGTATCTTTTTCGTTGATTTTTCTTAATTTTTAAACCTTGCTAATAAAATACAATAGAAAGAATGAGAGATCTCGAATGATCTTATCACGACCCTTTCTTTGTTGCTTTTTGTTCTATAATTGACAACTAAATATTAACAGAATAAAAAACTAGAATTAATTTATTTTTTACGATATGAAATTGTAAAAATTTATTATAATAACTTCTATAAAATATATAAAAAAAATTCATAATTGTCAATGCATGTGAAAATGAAAGATTGTGCTATGTTTGGTTGGAAGGATAGAGGATGAAGATTGAAGTATCCCTAGAATACCCCTAGTTTTCAAAAAGGATAAAATGCGAATTTAAATTTAATTTATGTGCATTTTGTTTTATCAATGGGAATTTGACTTATGTGTGTAATTGTGATTTTATGTAAATTAATTATTTATTTGTGTTGACTGATTTGTTGAATTATAATTATTTATTTGTTTGACTTTATTTATTTATTTTAATTGTAATTATTTATTTGCTTGACTTTATTTGTTTTGTTTTAAAGGTATTTATTTAAATTCCAATTACAATTGTGTTGTAGGGTGGACGTAATTGTTTAGTCATTAGTTTAATACATCGTTTGAGTTATAATTAAGTTTAGGGTTTATGTTATAATTAGGTTAGCCGACTTATAATGAGTCGTGGAATTAGGATTAGGGTTTAGCAGGCACCTATATATATATATATATATATATATATATATATATATATATATAAAAGACAGTATGATCTGCTAGGTTGAAAACGCTATTCACGACATAGTATCTTGAGAGGAAAAACAGAGAGAAGCTGCAGAGGGAATCAGAGAGGGTCGTGAGAGATCACCTGTAAGGCTAAAAGAGAAAGAAGGGGTTGCTTTGGGATGGGATTAAGAAGTAACAGAGGAATAAAACTGTGATCAGAGGAGAAACAGTCTTGGAGAATTCTGAAACTTAGAGACGACGTTGAAATGTTTCAAACCGAAACCTAAAGGCAAGTTTCATTCTCTCCTTCCTGTAAACTTGTGTTCTGCGCATTCTTTATAGTCTCCAGGGACTAATTCAACTTTTTAAAATTAATGGTTGACGCATAATGTATCAGACTGTAACATGTTTATGGTTTAAATCACTGAAATTGGTTCTTTTATAAAACTGTGTTGATTATGGTTTTAAACTTCTGTAAATTAATTTGTAAGGGAATCCAAGGAGTTTCTAGGATGGTTTGGACCATAATTTAACACTGAAAACTTTAAAACGGAATGTTGATACATGTTTCAGACTTTAAACTGTTCGTATGCTTAGTTAAACTGAAGTTGGTTTTTCTTGCATAAACTGTTGTGTGTTGTTTTAGCTTTTTGTCAATCGGTTCACACTGGAATAGGAGGAGTCTCTTGGGATTTAAGAACTTTAATTGAACCCTAATAATCTTAAAAAGGTCTGGAATAGGACACTCGACTTTGCCGGAAACACAGAAGCAACCGGACGAAGTAGAGAAGAAGTCTGGACTAGGGAAGGCTCTCAAAAGGGGCAGAGCTAGCTCTAAGCAGGTTAGAGCCTGCTCCAATTGTTTTGGGAGCAGGCTCTGTGTTTTTGTGATGTTCTGGAGCACACAACGCATTGTTTGGTTCAAATTGCGTTATTTTGGACTGTGTTTGGGTTAGGGAGATGATTTTAAACATTAATTCATGGAGTATTAAAGCCCTAGGATGTATTAATTTATTTATATGTTAAGGTTTTAAACCGTAGGAAAATCTAACGCAAGTCGCAGGCGGTTTACGGACTTAACAGACCGGAAGGATTTAATTGTGCAAATTGTGTCTAGCACTTAAAAAGAGTTGGAACATGGATTAAAACATTGTACCATGCTATATCAGAGCCACATTTGATAAATTAATATTTCTGTACTCATGGATTTAACCGTAGGAAAGTACAGCGATGTAGGCTGTTAACGGAAGGAATGAGTTTGATTACCTAGTTTAATTTCAGCAATTTAACGGAGTATATATATATTTGTAAATCTTATTATGGTTGCATGCTAGGGTCATTTATATATTATGTTTGATCTATGCATACCTTGGATGTTAATTGTTAAAAGACTAAATTCTTTTCTACAATACATGGATTTGAGCTTGGGTTTTAATTGCTATAATATTAAGCACTACCCTGTAATTATTGGATTTTGGTTTGGACTTAAAATGCTGAACTAATACTTAAGTTCTGTCAATCTAGTTGGATGTTGGCCTGGAATTAATTGCAGAATTAGTTATATATTTTCTGTCAATTATCTGGATGGATGCTGGATTTTAACTTGATGAACTATTAAACTTTGTTTCGTTAAGTTACGTGAACGGATTCTGGATTTGTAGTTGATGAACTGTTTAAATTTTGCATTTATCAACTATTTGGATTATGTGGACATTATTTGATAAACTGCTTAAAATGTTGCATCATTTACGAATCATTTGCATGATATGCACCGGTATGGGACGGTGGCATACGGAGGGACGGATTAAATCAAAACACGAATCCCTACCCATTCATACATA